GGTGGGGGTGTTTATTGGGGGGACGCTCTCACCCGGGAAACCCCCTCCTCTCCCCCCAGGGTTTCCAGCATCTTCCGTTGATCGCGAACGGCCCCCGGATACTCAGCGCAGACCAGCCGCTTGTCCGGGTCAAACCGGAGCCTGACCGCCGTGGCCTGAGCTCCGGGGCCTGGCGCTGACCACTGGCCGGACTCAGACTCGGACTTGGAGTCCGGCTCCATCCTCCCGCCGCCGTGTCTGTCAACATCCGGTCCCACACCCAACCGCCTCCGACTGGAGAGCATCGGGACAAACAAAGAGTCCGGGCAGCAACAAAGGTTCTGCTTCAAGCTGCTCCTCAAACTAAATTATACAAATGTGCAATAATAGTGTATTGTTTTTTTATATGTATGGACATTTTTTTTTATCATATTAGTGATAATTCTAGTCGTTTCCCATAGAGAGTTTGGTAATATATCCAATATCTGGAAATATTATAATAAACATTTTCTGCTTTATATATTGTTATATATTTCATTAATGTAACGTTCTTGTATAGCCATCGTATACTGTGTTTCTCAATAATCTTCAAGGAGATTCCAGAATATTTAGTTACGATCATTTTGTGGTTTAATTGCTACTTATTTTAAGCAGAAAATCTAGTCAGCCTCAAGTTACTGCTCACAAGTCAGAGCTACACTGACAATTACCAGAAAAAAAGTACAATTTCAATGGAAAATAGGGATGCTTTCAGTACTTGCTTTCCTATAATCGCAGAGAACATATACCTTGGGAAGTTTTCTGTTATTCCTATCAGAGAGGTTTTGTAAATAGATTAGACATATTCTGAGATGTTAAGTAAAAAGTTTATTTAGTTTGAACTGCTGTGGTCCTTGGGGTGTAGGGACACCTATGGTTCATTTAGGGAAAGTGTTCCAGGATTATGATTTAACATTATAGAAGGAACAGCAATATATTTCCAAGTCAGCACACTTTGTGACTTGGAATGCAACTTGCAGGTGGTATTGTTCCCATGTACCTACTATCCTTGTCCTTCAAGATGGTAAAGGCTTGAAGGTGCTGTTTAAGGAGCCTCGATAAATACCTGCACTAATCTTGTAGATGTTACACACTGATGCTACTGTACCAGGAGTGAAATGTAGTGCCAATCAAGCGGGCTGCTTGTGCCAAAGTGTTGTTGGAGTTGCACTCTTCAAGACAAATGGGGAATTTTCCATCTCACTTCTGACTTGTACCTTGGAGTTGAACAGGCTTTGGGGAAACAAGCTGCTCCTCCAATTAAATTACACATCTGTACAATAATAATGTATTGTTTTTATATGTATTGACATAATTTTTATCATAGTACTGATAATTCTAGCAGGGGGTTTGCTTTCCCAGAATTCCTAGCCTCTGACATAGCTTTGTAACCACAATATTTATATGGCTAGTCTAGTGTTTCTGGTCAATGGTAATCCTCAGGATGTTGATGGTGTGGACTCAGTGATCATAATGCCGGTGAATGTCGAGGGGCGAAGGTTGGATTCTCTCATTAGACAGGATCATTGTCCAGAAATTGTATGGCACAAATATTACTTGCACTCATCAGACCAAACTTTGACATTATCCTAGAATTCCTGAACTTGGATATGGACTGCTTCAGTGTCTGTAGAGAAGCATTTAAACTATGTGGTAATCTTCTTTGTTTAGTAATCCATTCCTGGGACCCCATTATCAGTTGAGAATAATACTTGCTTCAATGTCTTAAAATTTTTGAAACAGAAAGTAAATTAAACTATGTTCTAGTGAAATTAGCCGTTTGATCTAACTTGTTTATCTTCACAAAAAACGATGCACAATTATAGTCAGATGTACACTTATCAGCTCATATTTGAGACCTCCAAGGATGGAATGTGACAACTATTCCATTTTCAAGCACAGCTCCCTTGATACAAGGCCTCACCCTGTTGCCTACGATTTTGGATCACTGTGCTCAGATTCCAGATCAGGCGAGTGTAGGCTCAACCTTAGAAGGACATTTACACTGTGTATGAGAACTTAGATACAATGACCAGGAGAGGTAAATAAATTAAAACCAATAGACAGTTGCAAGTGTGGAGGGTAGCCCTTTATTAAATCACTGCGCAATATTCATCATCAACTCAACTTTGAACCCCCACCCCCCCCAAAAAAAATACTGAGTCTGAGCAGGCAGACAAACCCTCCCCTTTCCACTGACCACCCCACCCTCTGAAAGACAGACAAATTTGGCAAGAGAACACTGAACACCACCTCCTCACTTCAAATGGTGAGTCAGGGTCTCTCGCTCAAATCCATGAGCAGTTCTGCCCCCAGTCTCTGGCTTGATTTCCACTGGCGAGTATCTTCAAGAGATTAAATCATCACAGCTTGGGAAGCAATGACTGGAAATGTCAGGGTAAAAGTAAGGAGGTTTGAAATCACGGCACTGTTTCATTATTTAAAGTCCTGATACAAAGATCCTGTGGGGAAGTTGGTCCAGCCTATATTTTTCCTTTTGAACACCGCAAGAGAATTCATCAGTTTGTACGATGAACGTCTTTAAGGTCACACCTCCAGCCCAACTGAAGAGGAGCAGTCCGATTGGGTCAGCAGCAAGCATTTGAAGGGGAGGGAGTATAAAAGATTCCAATCAGATGTTCCGTCATACCTGGGTGGCCATCATCTACAGACATACCATACGTACAACATAATGTAGTGCAAAACATGAAAGACAACTTATTTGTTCACAGTTACACAGGGATTTGATGTCAAGTTTTTTTTGCATTTTTTTTTCCTCTTGGGATATATAAACATTCCACTGAAGGGATCAAATGACCCTTAACTGGATTGTACCTTGTTATAAACTTATGACATGCTTACAAAGCAAAGCAGGCATTAACTGCTCAGAATAATACTGACTACTTTTCTTTAATTCCCCACCCATTCCCCCCCATTAATTCTGGTCATGATGCGTTCCGTCATAGTCCATTATGCTGAGCTGCCTGACGCTTTCTGGACTGGACACCTGCAGTTTCATGGGTCCGAGAGAGTCTCCCAGCTCCACACTGTACTCTGTTTTGAGGGAGTCAAAGAGGCTGTCCATCTTGGGCCGCTCGTTGTCACACTGGCTCTCGCTCTTGTTCCTGAACAGCTCGCGGGCACGCATCCCAAGGAGACTCTTGGAGCTGGGGTAGGACCCGACTGTGACTGGCGTGGTGGGCTGCTCCAGGAGGTTGGGGCTCAGGGCTCTTTGACCTCGCCCCCCTTGCTCAGCAACCATCAAGGCAGGCTGTAGCTTTCTTTCGGGAGACCGGTCAGTCGAGGTGCTGGGGCCCACAGGGGGCTTCGCTTGGTGACTAGTGCTCTCTGTATCTGGACTCTCAGCAAGAGAGTCAGAAATGGCACCAATGTTTTCAGACCTATTTTGTAAAAAAAAACAGAAAAGGGGATTAGGACAGCAAAATGTTTTAGTTAGTTCTCTGCAAGCTTGATATGGATTTTGTTACAACTCAGATTTTGTGGCATAAATTTTACAGGGTCAGAAGTCACCCGACACCAGGTTAGGGTCCAACGGGTTTATTTGAAATCACAAGCTTTCAAAGCACTGCTCTGAAATGACTTCACCTGACGAAGGAGCAGTGCTCTGAAAGCTTGGGATTTCAAATAAGTCTGTCGGATGATAACCTGTGTCATGCGACTTCTGACTTTGTCCACACCAGTCCAACACTGCAGAGGCACACTTCAGGTCTATACCTGGGTTTGTGATTTGTAAGACAATCTTCTCAACTCACTTTATACAGTCCTATCAGGAGAACTGTCTATTCTTTTTCCCTTTATATCAAATTTTCATTTAAAATGCATACTTTATTTACATAGCACTTACAACATGGATAAATGTGGCATTGCACAGTCATATTGGACTCGAAATGTTTACTGTTTGTCTCCACATGGTGTCAGTCTTGCTGGGTTTTTCCAGCAGTTTGGGTTTCTTATTTAACAAAGATGTTAAGGCTGAGATTGCATATGGGACCATATTTGTATGAGGAGTAATAGGAATACTTATTATCCCATGAGATAGTCTTTGCGGTGTCTAGTATATTTATAATTTAGACTTTGGACTGACTAATTTGCACATCAAATACATGTTTACTTTAACACACATCAGAATCCATGTAAAATACAAACTACAACATTGGAATCTTGTTGGGAATTTCTTCATTTGGGGATCATGCTACAAATTTTAGTTTGTTACAATCCCTGCCATAACATCTTGGCTACTATTTATCCTTCAAAGGTATTCAAAGGATTTACAAGGATATTGCCAGGGTTGGTGGGTTTGAGCTATAGGGAGAAGCTGAATAGACTGGGGTTATTTTCCCTGGAGTGTCGGAGGCTGAGGGGTGACCTTCACAGAGTATCATAGAATCCCTACAGTGTGGAAATAGGCCCTTCGGCCCAACAAGTCCACACCAAACCTCGGAGCATCCCACCCAGACCCATCCCCCTATAACCCACTTAATCTACACCTCCCTGAACACTACGGGCAATTTAGCATGGCCAATCCACCTAGCCTGCACATCTTTGGACTGTGGGAGGAAACCGGAGCACCCGGAGGAAACGGGGAGACACGGGGAGAATGTGCAAACTCCACACAAGACAGTCGCCCGAGGCTGGAATCGAACCCAGGTCCCTGGCGCTGTGAGGCAGCAGTGCTAACCACTGTGCCGACCTTATAAAGGTTCATAAAATCATGAGGGGATTGATAGGGTAAATAGACAAAGTGTTTTCCCCAGGGTAGGAGAGTTCAAAACTAGAGGGCATAGGTTTAAGGTGAGAGGGGAAAGATTTAAAAGGGACATAAGGGGCAACTTTTTCATGCAGAGGGTGGTGTGTGTATGGTACAACTGCTAGAGGAAGTGGTGGAGGCTAGTACAATTACAGAATTTGAGAGGCATCTGGATGGGTACATGAATAGGAAGGGTTTAGAGGGATATGGGACAAATGCCGGCAAATGGGACTAGATTTATTTAGGATATCTGGTCGGCATGGACAAGTTGGACTGTGCTGTATATCTCTATGACTCTACATAGAATCCTTACAGCTGTCAATCTGAACCATATTAGGACTCCAGGATGTGGTGTAAAAGAACAGCATGTCAACTCGGTGTATCACCCAAGAGTCACCCCAATTTAGTTTAAACGACAAAAATATCTCACATGTCCTCTATAGGCCGAGGTGTTCTTTCTGCTCCCGCTGGCTTCTCTGGAGGTCCTGCCTGTTCCAACTTGCTGTAAAGTTCCAGGATTTCACATTGTAGAGTTTGCGTTATCCGTTTCTGGGCTTCATAGCGGCTTTCTGCTGCCTGCAGCTCTCCACTGGGAAAAAAACAGACTCAGGGACATTCAGTTACAGCTGAATGCCACCCAGTTCTCAAAAACTACAGCCTAACCACATGGATATTTCAGTTCTTCTACAACAGTAATGCTGAGGAAACAGTCAATCTGTTCTTTAAACAATAGGCATCATAGAATCCCTGCAGTGTGGAAGCAGGCCATTTAGCCCATCAAAGCCATACCGATCTTCTGTACAGCATCCTACCCATACCCACTCCCTGACCCTATCCCTGTAACCCTGCATTTCCCATGGCTAATCCAATTAGCCTACACATCCCTGAACACTATGAGCAATTTAGCATGGCCAATCCACCTAAACTGTACACCTGTGGATTGTGGGAGGAAACCGGAGCACCCGGGGGAAACCCATGCAGACACAGGGAGAATGTGCAAACTCCACACAGACGGTCGCCTGAAGGTGATATCGAGCCTGGGTCCCTGGTGCTGTGAGGCAGAAGCGCTAACCACGGAGCTTCCATGCTGCCCAAAAGGATGGCCAAAAGGTTAAATGCACCAAGCCCCTTGCCCACCCCATGCCAAACACTCACCCACCATACCTGGCCATGTTTTTGACATTTTCCAGATATTTCTTTTGCTCAAGAAAAAGGTGCTCTTTCTTTGTCAGCTGGTTTTCAAGCTCCGTTATGCGGCGCTGCGATGCCTCCAATCTCTGGTTTTGCTGCTGAATGCGGTGCTTCATCTTCTCCCTCTCTCGGACTAAAGAAATCTGCAGCATCTCCGCCTCTGCTGCCTGAACAAATTGATGAGGGCAGATAATGCACTTAAATACAGGGACCTTCTATACCCATCAGCAGAACTTCCCCATGTTATGTTCATGCTGACTGACAATTGAGTCAGAGCGAGATACAAGTTGGTGCATGACCTTTTTTTTGTGTGCCCACTTGAACAGACTGCTCAACATCTCAGCTGAGGGACTACCCCACAGTAAAAAACATTTATAATGGAATCAGCCTATGTAAACTTATCATGCTGTAATTATACCCTCCTACCAGTGGAAGCAGGGCAGCACTGTTGAGAACATGTAGTCACAGAATGACTATACAATAAAGGCTTGATCCACTAAATACGTATTCAGGAACACAGAAAGCGATGTTCATGGAGCTAGACAAAGGGAGGAGGGCTCAAGTGCAACATAGCACTGGTAATGTGTCCAATCAAGTGGCATAACTATGTTGCTAAAACAAGATAACGATTATAAATAAAAACTGAATTAAATCTACTGTGTCTTAGTCTGATGTCACACTACACCAGGTTATAGTCCAAAAGGTTTATTTGAAACTTATTACTTGACTTCACCAGACGAAGGGGCAGTGCTTCAAAAGCTTGCGATTTCAAATAAACCTGTTGGACTATAACCTGGTGTCGTGTGACTTCTGACCTTGTCCACCCCAGTCCAACACCGGCACCTCCATATTGTGTCTTCGTCCATTTAATAATTTGCATTTATATAGCTTCTTAAACGTGGTAAAAGAAGTCCCAAGGCACTTCGCAGGAACACAAGACAAAATTCAACACCACGGCGTATGCTCAGGCAGGTCAAAGAGGTATGGTTTAAGGAGCGACTCTGGAGGAGCAGACAGGGTGGACCTAGACAACTGAAGGGATTTCCACCAACGAGTGGGGCAGGAGATCAGGATGTACAAGAGACCAAAATCAGAGCAGTGCAGAGTTCAGAGTTGATAGGCTAGAAATGGTGAAAAAAATAGGGCAGAACAACGTATGGAGGGATTTGAACACCAAGATGAAGATTTCAAAAATCAATTAAGGATTTTTCACAGTTTAATATGCTTCACTTAGTCTAGAAACTCATTTTCAACTTTACAGGGGATTGAATTGTAAAATGGTAGGGTAAGATCACTATAAATTTTAAGTACTATTCTTACAGATTTGACTAGTATTCCCAATGATTTTTCAGTTTCAAATAGAATTCCTGAACATGAATGATCAATGGCTTAAACACACAAACTTTCAATGCTTTGCGATTATCTTTACCTTGGCAGAGCCCATCTGAGAGTGCAGTAACTTCTCCATATGTAGCTCATTCACTTCACTTAGGAGCAGTAGCTGCTTGTTCAACCATTCCATTTGCTGCTGTACAGACTGTGTGCTAGTGAACTAGGAATAATTCAATAAAACAATCAGCCTTTGACTGGCACACTTAGGGCCCTAAAGAATGACAACAGACACTGGAGAGTAATCTTTTAAATTTCCCCTGGGATCCCTGCTAGCAAAGAACTGTGCAACATGCATCACATAGCACTGAACCAACAGTATAGAGGAAGATTTACTTTGTATCTAGCCCCATACTGTAACTGTCCTAGGAGTGTTTGATGGGGACAGTGTAAAGGAAATTTTACTTTCAGTTTTAAAAGAATAAAGGCAGTTTTAACTTCAGTTTAAAAGAGTAGAGAGAGCTCTACTCGGTATTCAACCCTGTGCTGGATGTATGGCCATTGAGAAACCGAGCAGATACCCACAATTTTGACGGTTATTAGCATGGGCTACTTGCGTGGAATGACATAAAGCGCTGGGTGTGTAACAATTTGCATAGATTTAAATGTGCAAAGTGAGATGAGAGAGGAATCTTCAACTATAAACCACACTCTGAAGAAGTGGTGCCAACTGCATGTGAATATAGGCTAGTTCAGAGCGTTAAGCAGATGGTCATTTCCCTCACCTTCTCAGTCATCTGGTTCAGCAGATATGCAGTGTTACAGGCTTTGTTATTGGCCTTCTGTAGCTCCAGCTTCAATTCCCCAATCATCTTCTGACAATCCTGTAGTTTATTCTAAAAGGAAAAATGGTACAATACTCAGAGTTTGGTGGAAATTAGACAAACAAAGAAAGAATCCACAAAGGCCATTAAGCCCATCATTCCTGGTCCTGGCACAAACTTGGTTAAAACATGTCGTCAAGAAACAAGAGACCCCGGGTTCAGCAGTGATCTATTTAATTTAGTAATATCAGACTAATCTGTGAGTTAAGCAATATAAGTGGGAGCAGAATCTATCACAAAGCACTATTACAAAAGATTGAGAGAGGGTATCAGATAATTACATAAAACAGACAAAATTTGCAGGTAGTAGTCAAAAGACGGAAATGGGACTAGCTGAGTAGTTTTTAAGAGAGCTGGTGCAGACATGATGGGCTGAATGGGATTCTTCTGCATTGTAACGTTGTAGAATTTGATGTATATTGCACCCAACCATGAACTCTGTCACATCTATTATTGTCTCTAATGTGTAAGCGTTATCAGAATTTACACCTCTATGATACGGATACCCTCCAGAGGCATCTGGACAAAAACATTCTCTCTCTCTTCAGCAAGCACTTTCACTGCAGGAATTGCAGTAGCTCATCGCTATCTTCAAGGCCAATTAGGAATGAGCGTTTGTAATATAAAACTGGGAAGTAAAATCTCATAGGAGTACATGAACTCTGTAAATACAGCGTCAATGGAATTTCATTGGTTTGTAAACTTTCAGACTAATTAGGTGGATGGTATGCAAAATGTAAGAGTATTTTACAGCATGGAAAGAGGCCCTTTGGCCCATCTTGTTTGTGCTGGTCATCAAACGTTCATCTGTTCTAATCCCATTTTCCTGCAGCCTTGCATGCTATGGCAATGAACCACAGGTCAGAGCTTCAGCTCCGGTTCTTACCAAATGTAACAGAAGATAAAGGTGCCTCAAACGTCCAGTTTAACCTCCACCTCCCCGCACAAGCCAGCTTCTTTAAATTCGCCCAATGGGAAAATAGCTTCTGCCAATGAGCTGTGCTGTACCTGCAACTCCTGACAGCTGGCACGATAGTCACCTCGCTCCTTCTGTAACTCAGCGATCTGGCTGTTGAGATGCTTGACAATAGATTCCTTCTCTTCTCGCAGCAGCCGATACTGGTTCTGCTCAATGAACAAACTGTGCTTGAGAGATCCAATGTCCAATTCCTGGAGTTTCAGCTGGTCCTTCTGCACACAGAATTGACCACAAGAGGGACAGAGGCTTAGGTTGTTCACAGCAGTGAAAGATAAACTTCATTTTGTCCTCAATCAATGAGGGAAGCTGTAACCTCAAATCTTCTGTCCACATACCCCATATAAAATAAAGCTCTGAAAAGCTTCTGAACTTGCTGCTATTCATTTCCTCCAACAATGAGGTGCCAAAGGCCCATATTTCATAGATCATAGAGTGCCTACAGCATGGAAGCAGGCCACTTAGCCCATCAAGTCCACACTGACCCTCTAAAGTGCATCCCCTCTGAAACCCACCCCGCTACCCTAGCTCTATAACCCTGCATTTTTCATGGCTAATACACTTAGCCTGAATATCCCAGGATGGCCAGTCCACCTAATCTGCACATCTTTGGAATGTGGTGGAAAACCGGAGTAGCTGGAGGAAACCCACGAAGACACGAGGGGGGGAATGTGCAAACTCGACACAGACAATTGCCCAAGCGTGGAATTGAACCCAGGTCCCTGATGCTACAAGGCAGCAGTGCTAACCACTGAGCCACCGCACCGCCCCCAGTGGGAAATTGGAACCCTAATATAGTCAGGCTGCTAAGACAAGGGAGGGGCAAAAAAAAAATCACATGTAGCCAATGTGCACACAACAAGATCCCACAAACAAATCGAAGAAATAACTAGATGAGCTATCTTCGTCACAATGACCAGGTCATCAGGAGGGCACCTTCTTCTTTCAATAACCCCAAGGGATCTCTTGTATCCACTTCAACACTCATTGATTTAACATTTAGAAACAGAGGAAACCCTCCCAATCATACAAACTAACTGGGAGTAGACCATTCAGCCCCTCAAGCCTGTTGCACCATCCAATAAGATCATAGCTGATCTCACTACACTGCATTCTCTCTCACTCCGATAACCCTTCACCTGCTTGCTTAACAAGAATCTATCCAGCTCTGCTAAAAAAAAATTCAAGGGCTCTGCTTCTACCACATTTCAGGAAGAGTTTTCCAAGGACTCACAAGCCTCCGAGAAAAAGAAGCTCTCCTGCATCTCTGTCTTAAAAAGTCCCAGAGTTCGAGATTCTCCCATAAGAGGAAACATCCATTTCACAGGTATCCTGTCAACATCCCTTAGGATTATGCATGTTTCAGTCAAGTTGCCTCTTCCTTTTCTAAACTCGAGTGGATGCAAGCCTAGGTGTCCAGCCTTTCCTCATAAAACATACGCTTATTCAATCCCAGAGAAAGATGAATAAGAGGGCAAAGGAAAAACAGAAGAGAGTTGTGAGGGTTTCTTTTTAACAGACACCTTATAAACATTGTCACAAATGAAACTGTTGGAACCTACAGTGAGCCTTTCCATGGATGTCCAACAAGGTAATGCATTATAATTCTATTCTTAAAGCCTCACCATAGCTAAATTTTGTTCCTCCAGTGCAGTTGCTTTGAGAATTTTACGCAGCAGACGCCTATTCCGAACAGCATGTTGCTCTCTCTTGTAGCGTTCGTATAGTAGCTGGTTGTGCAATAAAATTAGTTGATTCCTAAGCCTTTGTAGCTCATCCATGGGGACAGAACCTGAGATCAATTGAACAGTGTTAGAAATTGCTTTAAAAAAAACCCGTCTTGTTTTGCTGCATTATGAAAGTAACAACTTGCCCTGACCTCAAAAAACTGCCAAAAGACCCAGCCATTCCCTGTGCATCAGCTACAAACAACCTGCATTTAAATAGCACTCCATCGCACTTCACAATTTATCAGACGCAATCTGACACAGGGCAATTTCACAGGAGGAGAGAGGAGGGGAAAGAGAATTTCACCATAGGCACATTCACAAATGTTGAGGCAGTGCAGAATCAGTGTGAGAGACCAAAATGTGGAAATATGCTTTGTGCTAAAGCTCTTGATTTATGAGGGGTGTGACCACATCCTGGAACCACGGAGCTCACTGTGGATCACCTTGGTGTCCAGCAGCTCCCATATGCTGCAGCTGTAACACATCATTCAACCTGCCATCTGCATCATACTTTAAGTTATTAGTCACTCTAGTACCCATGCACTTAACACTTGTAATTATTTTTAGTGCACAGAATCAATCTTCTGCCTAACAAGCAATTTGCAAGAGAAATAAAGACTAGAGACCTCAACACAAACTGAAGATCCTTATTTTTACTTAAAAAAAAACTGTGAATACTCAACAATCCTACTCTCTGATCAGTTTCTGTGTTTTGGTAAAAACAAGCAAACATCTTTCCTTTTCCTCCAAACCCATTCAGATACTCAATTCCAGTACACTATTACAAGTCACACTCGTGCTAAGTCATACTAAGTCAGCTACCTACATATGTACCCAACACAAAGAATCTCTCTGGCTCAGTTAATAAGGATCCAGTTTATGCTGGTTCTCAAATAGGTTACTCCACCAACAGAACTCTTGAAAAGAAACCTGCTCAAAACCTACAACTAGAAAGTCTAAATTCCAAGTTTCATTTTTGTGCCAACTAGAAGCTAAATTAGGTTTACAAAAATTAAATATTTATACACATTCTTGCCCAAAATATGCACACACTCAGTCTGAGGCGGAACTGAATTTGTTAGCTGACTTTATGTGGATTTCTAATCAAACATTCCTGGTCTAGAAACTGCACAAACAAAACTTTTATATGGAACAGGAAAGGGAATTTAAATGCATTATATACATGTATGGAACATGCACACATAAAACATTGGACACTCAAGTGACTTAAAAATAAACAATTTTACCACTTCAGTTTGACACAGAAGCTACTGATGTATGTAATTTTAAGGAAAATTTGACAATTTTAAATGAATATTAGTTCAGTAATCTAACTGCTGTGAATGGAGATATTTACTCATTTAGCAATGCCTCATTTGCAATCATGGAATCCCAACAGTGTGGAAGCAGGACATTTGGCCCATCGAGTCTACACCGACCCTCCGAAGAGCATTCTACCCAGTTCCACCCCCTACCTTATCCCTGTTACCCTGCATTTACCATGGCTAATCCAACTAACCTACACATCCCTGGACACTAGGCAATTTAGCATGGCCATTCCACCTAATTTGCACATCTTTGGACTGTGGGAGGAAACTGGAGCAACTGGACGAAACCCACACAGCCACAGGGAAAATGTGCAAACTCCACATAGACAGTTGCCTGAGGCTGGAATTGAACCTGGGTCCCTGGCTCTGTGAGGCAGCAGTGCTAACCACTGAGCGACCGTGCCACCCCATTCCTCTCTGATATTTTAGACTCTCCCAGTGACTGCCCAGCAATCGTCTAAAGTTCCACCACTGTAACAGCACCCAGGAAACTGCTGCTCAGAGTCCATTGCATCACTTAAGCGACTTATGGGAAAAGTGCACACTACATAAGTGCAGGAAATATGCTCAAAATTGGCCAATACTGCCTCACAGTTGTTTTAAAGCATTTAGAAGCATAGGGCGGTGAGAGAGGAAAATCTAGCACTTAAACATTGCATCTATGTCACATTGCAACGAGTCTGCTTTTTAGACCTGTCATGTTTAAACCTTTGCTCATAGCAGTGGCTGCATCCTTTGTAGCAGTTTCACTCATCAGTTAAGCATTGCAACCCAGAGAGCAGTCACGATAATATTTGCAACATACCTCCAAAGTGAGTCCAATCTGCAGATTTGCTGGGCAAAGGCAATCTAAAATTAGTGCACGAAAACAAACAGAGTGAGTAACTGATTCAGATCAAGAACAGGTAACCATATGATCAACCAGAACTACCTTCCACTTTTGAAAACTTGCTAGATACACAACAGTTAGCAAAATTCAATTGGTTATGGACCCAAAAGGGGAAAAAAGTCAATGTGAAATGTGCCATTGGGCTACATGTCAACAATGTAAGGTTATAGCGTTGGTGAATAACAGTGTAGGGAATCTCACCAGTCTCCTTTCCCCTTCCTTTAACCACTCATAGGTTTCCTTCCTGCAGCTTGTGCTGGTAAATGAGCAGACGGATATCAGTGTGAAAATAGGATTTGGTTTGATATGGAATGCCCAGATAAGCCTGTTGACACTCTACATGAAGACTCACATGTGAAGAATGGTCAGCTGAGAAAAACAGTAAGAGGGAGTACATTCTGCTGGTGATCAGTGGGTGGGAATTAGTAACAAAAGGAGGAGAAAGGCTGCGAAAAATATGTTGAGTCACTACTACTGATTTTGAAGGGACAATGGACATGCTAGCTAGACTCAGACTCAGTCTCATTTTGGACTAGAGATGGTTATGGGTGAAACTCATCTCTGGTGCTGGGACACATATCCAAGGTGCGCACAAGGTACAGTACCAATGGAGTTCTGATGATAAAAAAAAGTGAGGATAAAAATAGTTCACCAACATTTTTAACCACTACAACAACAACAAAGAAAAATTCTTTAATTGATACAGCACATTCAAGTGTATAATGTCAATTCATGTTGGTTCTGCGTTTTACAGAGATTAAAGAGAAACAATGACAAAGAGACATTTCGTCAATGTTATCTACAGATCCCAGGGTTGAGTGAGGCTTTGGATTTCGGTTAGACTCTATGCTGCCCTGAACAGATGCCAGTGCTGGAAAACAGCATAATGTGACCAAAGTGGCAGGTATTTCCTCAGGCCAGGTAGTGAAAGCCAAGAAGCGAAGTAAAACATTTTCTCCTTGAGGATTATGCATTAATAAACCTGCCCTGACTTCAGAAGAGGCACTTGCTACAACTGAGTGGCATGCTCATTGGCCTAAAAGACCATCTATTATTCAGATTCAGTCATGGAAAACTAATACCGCAAACACCGATTGCGAGATTGGGCAAGAGAAGAGCTTAACAGTAAGGCTGAGAGACATGGAATATTTTTTAATATTAGTATACATAAAAACTTACTAAATTAGGAAACATCATTTGAGTTAATATAACAGTAATCTTTAGTAACAAAGCCTGGTTTGGGGATTTGAGTGGTTGGGGAATCCCATTATTTGGATACTGACTTTGACATGCCAAGTTTGAAAGCTACCGCTGTCCCAATATTAAAACAGAAAGGTCATTCTAGTGTGGGAGGGGTACTGTAACAGTGCTTAGAAAGAAGAAGAAAAATAATCAGCTGCCTGCTTCCACTAATAAACACCCTTCAGTGACATAACGTGTGGATGTGATACGTTCCCAGTCAGTCAAATAGGCTTGTGTAGATTCCTCAGTGCGGTCAATGCACGAAGGTTTCATCACACAATCTGCAATCATCTCACCCAGTCAACAGATTCTATTCACCATTCCCATCTCAATGCTTGTACAACCACAAAACAAAAATATGAAGAGAACAGTTTATAATGTCTCCTACCATGCTGTAGATTCTACACAAGGACAGAAAGATTCAAGATTCACCCAACACATTGTGGCTTCCCATTAAATCAAATAAATTATCCACAGCAATCACAGAGTTAGAAACATTTAGTGGATTCAGTTAATTATTGGAATTTAAGTAAAGGTTATTATTTAACATGACAGCAAATTCCACACTTACCTGACCGTTTTTCTTTGACTTTGGGGCTCATGCTGCACGGGACAAACTCTAAAACAAACATGGGGGACGCACTTCCATCAGTTAGTTTTCCCATCCGAATTGTTCAGTAACAGAAAATATCTTTTGGTGGCAAGTTGTACCAGCCGCCCAACAGCAAAAAACAGTGCCTGACATGTAAAAAGATGGCCATAGGTGCAGCCAAGCCAACACTAACTCATCAACACCAGTTGACAAGGACATCGGGTGTGGACTGACAGTATTCTGTACCTTTTGCTAAAAAGCAAATGCTGAAGTGCAGTGAAAATAAACATTCTGCTTTACAATTTCCAAAAAAAAACCTGTGCTTAATACTCTTGAATGATGTTAACTGGAATTTCATCAGGAGAGAAAGAAAAGTCTCTGAGGACAATTGAGGACGCTTGGCTTTATTTGCAATGCAGAATTTGTATACTGCTGCATTTAAAATAAAAATGTTTTGAAACTTCATAAAGACCTGCATTTTTAAAGTTTTAAATTCTCATTTCCTTGGAACAAGACACAGCTGCTGGTTGAGGGATAAATAAAAGCCAGAGGAGAACGAGAGGGAACTTCACAGCTCTTCATCGAAAGAGTACTGTGAGATCTTGCCTCCAACCAAGGATCTAGGTTTAATGATTCATTGGGAAAGATGACACACATGACAGTATGGCACTCAATCAGTAACTACAACGGTACTCCCACTGTTCCCTCCCATCTTACCTGCTAAGCTCCTTCACGTGTGCATCTCCCCCATGCTGAATTAGCTTATCCAGCACATCGAGGGGCGAGATTGGTGCAGGTGACTGCGACATTGGGTCCTCCGAGTGCTCAGCTGCTACCTTTTGCAGCTCAGAGGTCTTCTGTTTGATGAAGAGACTGGCGGTCTTGGGCAAGGCCAAATCGAAGAGGTGTTCGTACGGGAGGGGATGACCACTACCAAGTGGAGGATGCCTCAGTGCCTGGACTTTTAACAGAGGGCCAGGTGTAAAAGCATCCGATGATGTCGACCCTGTTTTGAGCATCTCCTGTTTGACTGGGCTTCCAGAGCAATTCTCACTTGGCTTCTCAATGGGCATGAACCCCTGTTTGATAGGACATTGTTCTCGTCTGTGATGGTCTGACGCTTTGCAAGTTGAAGATGGGGCTTGCTGGGGCTCAGGGCACAGTCCCTGCTCAGTGGCTGAAGAGTAAGATTCCTGCTCACGTTTCGTTTGAGGGCCAGTGAGTGTTTCAGTCCTGTGTTGAAATGGCGAGTCGAATCCTCCTCGAGTAACCAGGGACTGGAGATCCATGGGTGTAATTTCAGAAAGTTCATCAGCAATAGCAGCTGCCAAAATAAAAATACAGGTCTCATTATCAGTAAAACTCCCAGCACAGGCCTAACTGTATCAATCCTCCTCAGTTATTTGTACAGAGAAATGATCTGTTCTGCTTTAGGTCAAGTGAAGCAAACCAAATTGCATCAAAAATCATCCTTAACACAGTACAATGACCCTAACAGTTCACAGAACTATTACACAAAAGTTGACACCGTGCCACATAAAGGTGAAATTGGGAAAGGTAACCAAAATTCCAAGAGGTGAGCTTTTCACGAGCATCTTGGATATAGAGAGTTGGAAAGGTTTAGGGGGAGAATATCAGTAACTGAAGGTGTGGCTCCTATTGGTGGGCTGAAGGGAAATGCTAATAATGAAATCGTGGCCAGGTATCAAATTCTCAATGTCACTGAACCTGCTCAGCCTCCCCATGGAGGGTGAGACGTCAATTGAGAGGAAGCAACTTTATCTTACTGAACATTACAAAGAGACCAAATGAAATGGAACACCTCTGAAATTTTAGTTTTGTTTTGTGAAGTCAGTGAATGAACCCTTATTTGCTCATCAGCAGAAACCAGGTTATTTTTTCTTTTCATCAAATAAGTCACAACTTAGTTATTTTGTTGATATGTGTCAGAAGTTAACTCCTGTTACTGCCTTCACCCATTAGCTGGAACTAGAAACAGACTTGAATTGAGAATATTATAGCTTTGGAACAAGTTATTTGGCCCATTTGTGCTGGGGATGGTTCTTTTTCCTCTGCGAGTCATCTGGAGAATTCAGACTCTCCTGCTGTTTCTTTTGTTCAAAAAACAAATTCTCTTCACTCTCCTGACTTGTGGAGGAGAATTCCATATTCTAAATTGCCTGTGTAAAGAACGTGTTTCTAACTTCTAATCACTGTGCTCAAACATTAGACCCATCAGATATTGTAATTTTTAATAGCAACAGCAAAAAGAACAAACTTGCATTTTTTCAAAGAAATTGTTCATAGTATGTGAGAGTCAGTGGCTACGCCAGCATTTATTGCCCTATCCATAATTGCCCAGACAGCAATTAAGATCTTTCTTGTAAGCGTGCAGTCCAGTCACACATAGGCCAGACCGGGTTGGGACAGCAGATTTCTTTCCCTAGAAGACATTAGTGAGGCCAGACGGGTTTTTGTGAAAATCCAGTGGTAACATGGTTATTGTTAGGACAGCTCTTCTTTTTTCAGATTTTGTATTAAATTCAAATTTCATTACTTGCCATGATGGGATTTGAACCATGTCTCCCTGGGTTACTCACCCAGTGACATCACTACAACTGCACCACCTCCCACTAACACTTTTCATGGCCTTGGGATATCCTCAAACACTGTCAGACATTAGTCTACTGATCAAATGTGGTTACTTGTTGCTGGCAGAGAAATACAAGATTGCTCAAAGCAAAACAAAAATGGCAAATCTGTTTTTGCTAATTGAGGATTTTTGGCCAAGACTCATGGCGAACTCAAGTGGCTGTTTTCCAGCCATTGGGACGGGACTCTTGTATCTAACTGAGCAAGTAATTCTCACCCAAAAGATAGAAAGTGCTTGAGAAACTCAACCAGTCCGTACAGAAACGTACGAATTAGGCCTTGAATTCAGAGCTTTGAATCTGCTCCACTATTCAATATAATCATGATTGATCTGATTAAAACCTCAAATTTGCATCCCCATCCATCCTTAATAATCCTTCACACACTGTCCTAACAATAACTTTGTTTCTTACATATAATTGATAACATCGAGTCCAATATATTTTTACCAGATTTTGAAGTCGTCATATTGGACTCAAAATGTTAACTCTGTTTTGCTCTCCACAGATTTGCCAGGTCTGCTGAGTTTCTCCAGCCGAAATTTTTATTTCGGGTCTTCAGCATCTGTGGCAATTTGTTCTTATTTAAAATCACCCAAAAGGTGCTGTTTCCAACAAGGCAGCCTGTATTTTATGCTTGAATTGTGGAGTGATACCTGAACGCTCAGGTTTGAGGGATAGGACGTAGATGGCAATTACCATAACTAAAACATAAACTTATACAAGGATAAAAACAGAAGTTGCTGGAAAACCTCAGCAGGTCTGGCAGCATCTGTGAAGAAAAAAAATCAGAGTTAATGTTTCAGATCCAGTGATCCTTCCTCAGAACCATTAACTGAAACGTTAACTCTGATTTTTTTCTTCACAGATGCTGCCAGACTTGCTGAGCTTTTTCAGCAACTTCTGTTTTTATTCCCGATTTACAGCATCCGCAGGTCTTTCAGTTTTTATACGAGGCCAACCTCTCTTTTAAAAAAAAGGCCATTATTTCCAGTTTCTAAACATAAAACCCTTTTTCTTCCTTCTGGTACCCTCACCACGTCCAAATCAAGATCACTGTTGCTCTCCCAGAATTTTAAGAGCACAGTTATTAACTTCCCCAACTCTGAAACTCCACAAGATGTCAAAATGCCAGCTTATCACTGCATCTTCTATTAAGAATTTGTACCTTTTCTAATTGGGCGTGTGTTCTGCACTCAGGATATTGCCACCTAGATCTCAAAGTTTAAAAATAAATTTTAAATTGAGAGTGAAACTCAAGTCTACAGAGAGAACAGTTACAGAACTAGTGTAACAATAACACAGAAACAAAAACAGAAATTGCCAGAAAAGCTCAGCAGGTCTGGCAGCATCTGTGAAGAAAATAATCAGAGTTAACATTTCGGGTCCGGTGACCCTTCCTCAGAACTGCTGGACTCCTGGTGAAGAATCCATCAGCATTAACTATCTAGGGTCTTGGAAATTTGCTTGCCATTACAGAATGTAAAATCTACACGGTTAACTTTATAAGGACATCGCAAGACTCTTCACAGAGATGCTTGGTACCTGCACCCTCAGGCAGGAACGGACAGCCAGTTTGGAAATAATGAGGGGGGGGAATGGGAAAAGAGGGATGGGAAATCCTTCATTATCTCTGCATTCAATAGAATTAAACACCCTTCTTTGTCATATACAGCATTTGATGTGAGGAATGTACCTTCTTCATTCTCCTTTTCTGTTCCATCCGGCTGTAGATTCAACCCCTTTATAACCTCCGGTAGCTCTTTTAAAGATACAGTTTTGATACTCTCATTCTCTAAACCTGAATACAAAGGCCACAGGAAAAGAGAAGAGATTTGCTGGCGGTAACATTGAAACAACATGCTTTCAATACGCAAAATACAAAATTGCTCGTGCAACAAGAAAGTCAATAATTCTGGTCCATGAAGATCTAATGGTACAGTACCTACAAGACAATATTACACGGATTGGTGATCTGATAAATACCCTGAAATTAAAGGGTTTGATAAGGTAAACCCAAAGAAGATGCTTGTAACTGTCTGATAAGACTCGGGACTATAAGTGTAAGATAGTCAATAATAAATCCAATACAGAATTCAGCAGAAACTTCTTTATTTATTCAGTGATACCTCTTACAATACTGAGTGGTTGAGACAAATGACATGGATGCATTTTTAAGGCGAAAACTAGATGATAGGAGGGGGAACAAAAGTTAGTTATATGGTGACAGAGTGAAATGAAGGAAATAAATGTGGAGCATAGACACCAGCATAGACTAGATGGGCCAAATGGCTTATTGTATGAATGTATGAAATTAATTTCTAGAAGCAAGCTTTTAACAACCCTTCCCCAATATATCTAGTTAATCCATTTTTCTACATGTTGGAACGTACTTTGAGGAGGGGCAGAGCACCTCAATCGACTCAGAATATGGACAAAGCAGGCATTCCACTCACCACCTGGGCTGTCAGCGGCTCCTTTATCACTAGTCACATGCCGCTGTTTGATTAATGGCTTTCCACTCTCCAGTTTACCATCCTATAACAGCAATAAAAATAAGACAGGATAGTGGTACACCACTGAGCCATTAAAAGAAGCAACCTTATAGATAATAGGAATGCAAGGGTTCAATTAAGAACACCAGAGTCGTCTGCAATGGCAGGCATTTTTGCTGTAATTAATGCTTGCAACAGGAGCTGAAAGCTCCAAACCAAAGGAACCCTGAACACGTCAAGTTAAAGAATCAGATTACATTGGAAGGAAAACAGGACAGAATATGAAAGACACACTGGAAAGAAACAGCGCAGGACTTTATGATTTTCTTGGAAAGTGACAACAATAATAAAAAGGCAGCATTTACTGTCCTCCAGAAATTGCCCTGAATAATAGTGAACTACATAATTGGGATTGGAGTTGGATGTATACCAGAGCAAGTACAAGAGCAACACTCTCTCCCAAAAAAGAAAGATAGTGACCCAATTGGATATTTAAGTGCATCAGATAGTAATTTTTGTTATCCTGTATACAGATTCCAAATTTAACTAAATTCAGTTTCACAGCTGTCAGAATTTGAACTTGCAATTTCTCAGTTGCTAGTCCAGAAGCTGACTGATAGGCCAGTGGAATATTGCTTAGGCTGGGGGCCACAAACACTTTCCTGGGGCACAGAAGGGGAGGGGGTGGGGCAGGTGAGGTACAGAAAGAAGGACAGTCTGCAAAAGTCTACCAATGCCGGACAGCAGCGACTACTGGTAGCCTGGTGACAGCTGGGGGCAGAATACAGTTACCATACAAAATTCAGAGTGGGCTTGCTCACCTCAAAAGATGACGATACATGGAGCAGGGAGAGCAGTGGAAGGATTATTAGCTCAAAATGAAACGTTTGGGAATCTCTGGATTCTGAGCAAAGCTCCTTAACATTAGGCTGGAGAGCAACCACAGCACCCATATCAATAAAACCAGCTATAAAAATGACTGAGCTTGTTCAGAAGGGCTTCCCTCACAGCCACTGTAAAAAGCAAGTGAAACCAATGGTCAATGCTGATTCCCACACCCGCCCTTGTTAATAACTAAAGCTACAAACACTGAAATGGGAGAAATGACAGTGACATATCAGAGAGGGAGGGGAAGAGAGGGAGAAGAGGGAATGGTTAAGACCGGAAAAGATAAGAAAGGGAAGATAAAAATGACAGAGAGAAAAAAAAAGCAGGCAGGCACACAAAACCTGCAATTAAAACACCTTCAAAATGTTGTGGACTTGTTTTGAGAACAGTATCTATTAGTGATGACTGATACTACTCAGTTGTAAATTTACGTTGGTAAACACCATCCGCCCAGTGAAATTTACCTTTCTTGGCAGTGCTGTTGAAAATGAACTGTGCATGAGTTCATCTGCAGGACATGGAGGGGGAGGGGAGAGAGTGGGTGCTTCAGTAGATGATCCTTTTCCACCAACTGTAAAAAGGGAACCAGAATTAACAAACTACCCGTTCATACCCTTAATCTCCCCAACAACTAATGATCTGTGTTCAAACCCTCCCCAACTTATAGAAATTAATTGCTGCTGATCAGAGGTTCATTGTGAATAACGTTCTCACACTGAAACATCAAATCTTCTTTTGCTGATTGATCTCGTGTATTCAAAGTATTGCATATGTTTATATCTCATTTTTTATATTTGCAATTTCTTCAATCACCTGTCGACACAACAGGTAAACCAAGGAGGTTGCCCCAAGAAGCTTGGTCAGAGCGAGTAACCTCCCAGTGATCACAGCCAAAGGTTGCTTCTGATACAAGGATATATAAAGCATACAGCATGATGTTAAAAACATTGAGGCACTACCGACAGTATTCAACATCCATCTAGATACCTTGCACCTAGATTTACCTTACTGCACTGTACTGTCACCATACATAGTGTAATGGTTATCTTAAGTTAATGTATTTGAACATGGTGCTTTCTTCACCCTCCACCACCTTTTTCTGTCTCCTATCTTCAAGCCAATTTAGTATCCAATTGGCTAGCTCCCCTGGATCCCATGTGATCTAACCTTACTAACCAGTCTACCATGCGGAACCTTGTCCAACACTTTGCTAAAGTCCATATAGACAACTTCTACTACTCTGCATTCATCAATCTTCTTTGTCACCTCTTCAAGAAACTCAATCAAGTTAGTTAGACACAATTTCCTATGCACAAAGCCGGACTGACTATCTGTAATTAATCCTTGCCTTTTCAAATGCACGTAAATCCTGTCCCTCAGAATTCCCTCCAACAACTTACCAACCATTAACATCAGGCTCATGGTCCAAAATTCTGTGGCTTTTCTACATCCTTTCTGAAATAATGGCACCACATTAGCCAACCTCCAGTCTTTCAGCACCTCACTTGTGGCTATCAATGATACAAATATCTTAGCAAGGGGCCCAGCAACCTCTTCCTTAGCTTCCCACAAAGTTCTGTGAAACACTTGATCAGGTCCCAGGGATTGATATACCTTTATGTATTTTAAGACCTCCAGCACCTCCTCTTCTGTAATATGAACTCATTTCAAGATATCACTATTTATTTCTCCAAGTTCCCTAGCTTCCACTTCCTTGACCACAGTAAATACTGACGCAAAATATTAAGTTTAGTATCTCACACATCTGCTGTGATTCCACACATACATGGCCGAATTGATCTTTAGGGGCCCCATTCTGTCCCTTGTTACTCTTTTGCCCTTAATGCACTTAGAGTCTCTTTGGATTCTCCTTAGCCCTACTTGGTCTGCAACCAGTGATGTGCCACAAGGGTTGTTGCTGTGTCCACTGCTTTTCATTATTTACATAAATGATTTGAATGTGAATATAAGAAGTATGGTTAGTAAGTTTGCAGATGACACCAAAGTAGGTGGTTTAGTCGACAGCGAAGATTATTATCTCAAAGTACATGGGATCTTGATCAGATGGGCCACTGGGCTGAGGACAGGCAGATGGAGTTTAACTTAGATAAATGACAGATATTTCATTTTGGTAAGGCAAACCAGAGCAGGGCTTACAAAGACACCCAGAAGTGCAGGTGCATAATTCCTTAAAAGGGGAGTCGCAGGTAGACAGGGCTGTGGAGGCAGTGTTTGGCACATTTGCCTTCATTGATCAGAACACTGAGTGTGGAGTTGGAATGTCATGTTGCACCTGTACAGGACATTGGTGAGGCCACTTTTAGAATACTGTGTACAATTCTGGTCGCCCTTCTATAGGAAGGACGTTGTTAAACTTGAGAGGGTGCAGAAAAGATTTACAAGGATGTTGCCTGGACTGAAGGGTTTGAGTTATAGGGAGAGGCTGAATAGGCTGGGGATTTTTTTCTCTGGAGCTGAGGGGTGACGGTATAGAGGTTTACAAAATTATGAAGGGCCTAGATAGGGTGAATAGTCAAGGTCTTTCCCCCAAGGCAGGGGAGTCCAAAACTAGAGGGAATAGGTTTAAAGTGAGAGGGGAAAGATTTAAAGTGGACCTAAGGGGCAACTTTTTTCACACAGAGGGTGGTGTGTGTACGGAAAGAGCTGCCAAAGGAAGTGGTGGAGGCTGTTGCAATTACAACATTTAAAAGGTATTTGGATGGGTACATGAATAGGAAGGATTTAGAGGGATATGGGCCAAATGCTGGTATTTGGGATTAGGTCGGATTGGAATGTCTGGACAAGTTGGGCTGAAGGGTCTGTTTCCATGCTGTACGACTATCTCCAATTGCGCTTTTCACAACACCAGTGACACTCTCTAATTGTAATATATACAAGTTTTCAATATGACCCAAACAGTGGAGAAGAATAATTTGTAACTTGTGTAGGATGTTATTTTCAAAGCAGACACAGTTTGAAGGAATGCACAGCTGCATTTCACTGAAAAGCTTGCGACAATGCCAACTGTGCAGAAGTCAAATGGAACAGTGCACCTGAGGGTTTTCCTAGCATAGGTTACATAAGCACAACTCAGGTGGGTGAGCAACACTCCTTATAGCTGTAGCAGGCGGTGGGCTGGGGTATACGCACCCGGTGTACTGTGAACTCTGTGTAGGCAGGAGGCACTTTCAAATGGGCTGGGAGAAAGTCCTCTTGAGGATGGAGGTGTAGACAGGCCACACGCTGAAGATGGACTCCACAGTGTGTCCTACAATGAAGACAGAAATTCAAAAATACTGGACACCAAAAATCATTTGAGTTGGATCTTTCTTGCTTAGCAGGGACTTGGCTTACCTGGATCCCATCTGCAGGGAGGCGTTGCAAGGTTGGTGGTGTCTTGTAACGAGGCTGGGACCCTGGGAGATTGGAGAAGGGGACCCGGGGCGTGTACGTTGATGACGCACTACCTGAAATTCAATAAAAAAGTGAAAGTGTCAACTCACTAAAACCTCTTCGCAAAGATATTAAACCAGTTAAAAACTGCAATAAAATATCCCCCACAAGCAAAATTTCTCCTTTTACTTTCCTCCCTCTGGTCACAGGCTTTTGAAGTCAATGTAAAATACTTACTGAAATCTTATTTCTTACCACCAATGTCTACACTGTGAGCTGATCAGACAGTTTAATGTGATAATTTCTATCTAATGTCTGGTTTTTCTTTAACTTAGTAACTGTTTCTGTTTCCGATTTCCAGCACCCGTAGTTTTTTCGATTTTCTGAACTGCTGTTGCTCTGCCTCTCCCAATCTGAATCCATGCTTGGTCAATTGAATTCATTCATTGAAACAATACGAAGAATATTGAGCAATGTTTTCCCACATTTTATATGTTTAATCTGGGTATTCATTTACCAACTATGGGCAGCACGGTGGCTCAGTGGTTAGCCTGCTGCCTCCCAGCACCAGGAACCCAGGTTCAATTCCACCTTCGGGCAACTATCTGTGTGGAGTTTGCACATTCAACATACACAACATCCACTGAGATTACCTTCATCACCTCCTCGAAAAATTCACTGAAGTTAGGAAGGCATGACCTGGCCTGCACAAAGCCATGTTGACTGTCCCTAATTAGGCAAGTAAATTCTATCCCTAAGAATTCTCTCCAATAGCTTCTCAACTACCGATATAAGACTCATTGGTCTACAGTTTCCAGGATTATCTTTATTTCCCTTCTTGAACAGAGGAATAACTTTGGCTAGTTGCCAGTCCTCCAGGACCTCTCCAGTGGCTAGCAAGGATACAAAGATCTTGGTCGAGGCCCCAGCAATCGCCTGTCTTGCATCTCTCAACAACCTGGAGTAGATACTATAAAACCCAAGGGACTTATCCACCTTAATGCTCTTCAAGAGATCAACACCACTTCTTTCTTGAAAATGTCCTAGCATATGAACATGATCCATAGAAATCTCACTATCCTCCATATCCTTTTCCTGAGGGAATACTGTTGCAAAGTACTCATTTAGGATCTTACCCACATTCACTGCCTCCAAGGACAAGTTCCCACCTTTATCGAGTGGTCCTACCTCCTCCTAGTTATCCTCTTGTTTTTAATGTATCTATTGAATGCCTTGGGATTCTCTCTAACCCTACATGCCAAGGTCATTTCATGGCTCCTTCTTGCTCCCCTAATTCCCTGCTTGAGTACTTTCCTGCTTTCCGTATATTCTCACGGGCCCTGTTGATCGCACTTCAGTTCCACGCTCCTGATCTACGGGCACCTAGTACCGAGACGGATGGGAGGGGCGGAGGCAAGTCGGAGGACCTTCTCATGGGTCTGCTTCTGGATCTGGTCAAAGTAGCCATTAATGTGTCCAGGCAGCAGGGCGTGGAAGGGACAGTACTTTGTGACTGCATGCCTTTCTTTCACAATTACGTACATACGTTGGACGCTGGAGGAGGGGTCTTTGGTGTATTATTTTCTCCACAAACAATATTTTAATCTGCTCTCCATTATCTTTTTAATTACAGTGCCCTTACAACAGAGTAGATAGGGAGAAACGTCTCATTGTAGAGGGATCAGTAACCATAGGGGCATAGATTCAAGGTGTGGGGCAAAATGTTTAGAGAGGATTTACAGAAAATGTAGAATGGGGGGGATGTTTGAACTCATTGCCTAGAAGGGTGGCAGAGGTGGGAAAACTTGGACATTTGAGAAGTAATTAGATGAATGCTTGAAAAGCCATTGCATACAAGGCTGTAAAGTCAAGTGCTAGGTAATCAGATTAGAGCAGATAGGTGCAAAATGACTTGCTGAAGGACCTCTTTCCATGCTGTGAAACTCTAACTGTATTGTTCTAAAATATGTTTCTGATTTGTTCTTGCTATGGCTGGTTTTAAATGAGTTCTAGTCTAGTCCATTATAAAGGATCTTGTGGTACAGTGGTAATGTCCCTACCTCTTTGCCAGGAGTTTCAAGCCCCACCAGAAATGTTTTACATGTCTGAGCAGGTTGATTTAAAAATACCTTACTAAGATCTACGTAAAAGAGGAGCCATCCAGAAGCAAGCTGGAAACATTACTGAGAGAGGAAGTAAGCTCTGTGAAACAATAAAGAAAGTCCTCTAGGGTTTTGGTCTCCATGGATGCTCTGTGCCTATTTACTGCTATCATGCAGCCTGACCACCTCCCTAAATGTGCTCTCCATGTAGGTCTTTGCACAGTGGATGCACAACAGTGACTCCAGCTGCTGCTTGAGTTCCTCAGGCCAGAGCTCAAGGTCGTGGCAGGTGACATTTCCTCCAGACGTGTTCACGTAAGGCATGTACATCCACGACTCCCCCTGCAGGAGATACATTCCATCTGGTTGAGCTGATCGGCCATTCTGTAACTTTAAAACTACACAATACAATGTGAATAAGCAGAATTGCTTACCAGATACTCACCAGTCACCACCATCACCTGCACCAAAGTAAGAGTCCAACTGTTTTCCCCTCTCTCTGGGCTCCATCTCCACCGATAGTTTATTCAGCTTCTCTCCCATTTTCAGCATATATACCTACTCTTTCCTAGTTACAATTAGTTCTGAAGACGACTCACTGGACCCGAAACTTTAACTCTGCTTTCTGTCCACAGATGCAGCCAGATCAGCTGAGCTTTGCCAGCAATTTCTGTTTGTGCTCCATCACTTGGCTCTTACTTTGGTGCAGGTGATGGTGGTGACCGATGAGTTAAATCTAACAAGGCCATAGGTGTTCTCTACCTTAGGGAAGATGGTATTGCCATAAAAGACTGTTCAGAGGTATGTAATAACATCCTTAAATATGACGATTAGGAAAATGTCTATTGCTATAAAGTCTCTTGTGGTACAGTGGTAGTGCCCCTAACTCTGAGCCTGGGTAGGCCTGGGTTCAAGTACCACCTGCTCCAGAGGTATGTAATAACTTGTCTGAATAGGTTGATTAGAAAACATCCTATTGCTGTGAAGAAAGTGCAACAAAGGTTCACCAGACTTGTCTCTAGGGTAGAAGGAATGGACTATCCTATGAAGAGAGATTGGGAAAACTGAGTCCACATTCTCCAGAGTTCAGAAAAATGAGACAATTTCACTGAAACCCACTAAGTGTTGAAGAGTTAGACAAAGTAGATGCAGGTTTGATCTGGTCTAAGAGTCTAGAATCAGGGGACACAATATAAGATTTATTTTTAAGAAATTGGTTTGAGAATCTCTGGGATTTTTTTGCCCCAGAAGGCTACAGTTACTCATTAAGTATGTTTAAAGAAGAGATTGACAGATTTTTAAATGCAAATGAGTCAAAGGGATACAGTGGGAAAACAACGAAGAAATGGATGATCAACCGTCATCATATTGAATGACAAAGCAAGTTCAATGGGCTGAATGGCCTACTCCTACTCCTATGACTGGATGACTTAAAGATATCCAAAAATGAAGTACTGAATACAGTAATTAAACAAGTGTTGAGTGAGGGGGCACAAGAATAAACAGAAGGGATTTGGAACACGGAGAGGATTTGAGGAATGCACCAGAGTTTAAAAAACCAAAGATCAGGTTACATTAAGAACTAGCTTGCCAAATAGTTAAATGAAAAGAGCGAATAAGGGTTTAGTAATAGGGCATACAAGGCCAGAATACAGACGAGAAAGGTAAATACCAATATAGAATAGATGAGCTTAATGGCCTGTTTGTTTTGCAATTTCTGCACAACTTTACATTAATTAAAGATAGCCTTTCTTACCAAAGCTACTCTGAGAATCTGAAAATGGACTACAGCTGTGGTCAGCGTGCTTATGCTGAGTATGTGTAGAGAAATGTTTAGGCATAACCGTGTAACCCTCCTCACATGAAGCCTCCTTTGGGTCCAGGGAAACTTTGGCACATTCTATGACAATGTCATGAGTTTCAAATCGCTTCCACCTGTGCAACAGAACCAGAAAATGAACAATTAGTTGTTGCCAATTATTGCATTTCACTGACATGGAAGGATTAAAAACTTGTTGCCTCAGGGTGTGCCCAACCAAGTCAGCTTATCGTAAAGATCAAGTTTCAGCTTCTATCTCTAGTGCTTAGGCCAACACATGCATCTGCTCTGCTGCAACTCCTCCGCAACCCACAGAATTTACAAAAGTAATTATTGGAGTCCCCAGTTTCAGGGCTATTTCACAAGCTGCTGGGCAGATCCTTGTGTTACATTCCATTACTGCATGGGGCTGCTTCAGCTGTTGTTCAGCTGGTGGCACTCTTGCCTCTGAATCAATTCCAGGTTCAAGTCCCACTCCAGAGCGTGATCACACACTAAAAAAAAAAAATCAAAGCTGCAACTCCAGTGCAGAAATGAGGGAATTTTTCAAATGAAAAGGTTTTAAACCAAGCCTGCTTGGGTGGATGCAAAAGATCCTGTGATGATATTCCAAAAGCAACATGGGAGTTCTCTCACATCTCCTGGTCACCATCACGTAGCATCGACTTTCTTAAATCAATGGCAGAGTATGGACATTAGCCTGTGATACCAGCACAACCAGTGCATACACCATTCAATCTGTCCCTTTGATGACAATATTTATAGTCCATCTGAGCTGCCTGACACTTGAATTAACTCTTAATTCCCCTCTTTTTCACATCGACAATAAGCCATCCCTTAAATTCATCCACATCAATCAGCAAGTTCCACATCCTAAACAACTTCTGCAAAGAAATTCCTCCCATTTCGAAGATTGAGAGGAAACTTTTATAGCTGCTCAAAATCATGAGTTGTGCAGAGAGAAAAACTGCTTGCAACGGCAGAAAGGTCGAAAATCAGAAGAAACAGAAACGAAGGAACTAGCTGAAGAACTTAAGGCAAAATGAGGATTTTGTTTTTAAAAAACAAAATGCAGTAAATCATTAGGGTCTGGAATACACTGCCTGAGAAAGGTTCAAACATGGTTTCTATAAAGGAGCTGGATAGGCATTTCAAAAGAAAATACCTGCAGGACAACAATGAAGGGGCGAAGTAGCAGAACTGGTGAAATTACACTTGCATTGTGCCAGAATGGGTTCAAGAGACCAATGGCCTCTTCTAGTCATGTAAATGTTTGATTGTAAATACTTCATTGCTAGCAACTTTCCATTATCCCTGATTGTATGTATCTAGTACAAGATAATTAACCATTATTGCACTAAGATCTTATTCAAACCATGCCACTCCAGAGAATTGAGTCCATAATCTGAGCTGACAGTCCCAGTGCAGTCCTAAGGGTGTACTACACTGTTAATGATGCTAGCTTTAAGGTGAGACATTAACCAGAGACTCTGTTTACCATCTCTGGGAGGTAGAAGACACCATGGTACTCTTCTGAAAAAGCACAGGAGACTTCCTTCCTCGTGTTCTGCCCGATATACATGCCTCGATGAACATTATGAAAACAGATTGTCTGGTCATTATTCCATTGCTTTTTGTGGCACCTTACTCTGCAGTGCGTTTCCAGCATTGTAACAGTGACTACATTTCATAAGTACTTTGTTAGCTGTCAAGCAGTTTGCAGCATTCTGAGACTGTGAAAAGTGATATACAAATGTAAAGTTCCTGTTTTAGATTTAGAGGAACAGAGAAATAAAAAGGGACATCAGTAATCATTAGAGAGAGGTCCTAGGATTGATTACCACACAGACTCAAACATATACAAAGCAATCAATCTCTCCAAAGCTGTTTGAAAACTGGCTTTAACACTAGGCTAAGACCATACAAAAGAAAACAAACCAAAATGGTAGGAGAAAGGATGAACAAGTCCATGAGGCTGAAAACAAAAAATGCTGGAAATCACAGCGGGTCAGGCAGCAACCATGGAGAGACAGCAAGCTAACGTTTTTGAGTCTAGATGCCGCTCCATCAGAGTTGAAGTGAAGCGTGGAGGGAGCAGCATTTATGTGATGGTGGATGGGATGGTAGTGGGGGGGGGGGGGGGGTGGGGGGGGGGAATGGTGGTGGGTGGTGGGCGCGGTGGAGAAAGGGTGTTGATAGTCCAAGAGGTTAATCTGCTCAGATGGAAATTAAGTTTGACACAGTTGAAAGCAATGGGGGCATTGCTCCTTGAAAATTCAAACTGACATATAAAAATGAGAAAGCAAGTGAAACCGAAGCAAACAAGAGTTCTCAACATTTAGCTAATCCATCACTTACTTAATGGGGTCCAGTTCATGGTCCTTGGTTCCAGTCACTAGCTCGGGGTGGATTCGCACATGTTCCAGCATTGGCTGCAACAGGTATTGGGGAATGGAGTAAAGTTAAAATCAAGGCAACCAAGAACATGTTGCTGCCCGAGAATCATACAGGGCTCTGAAGAAAAGCCAAAGCAGCCACTGTGAAATACACACAAATGCATACACCATCCACTCCTCCTCCCACTCAATAAAACTCAAGCCTAGGGCAAAAATAGTTTGCACAGATGAGTTTAAATATCAGATCTCAAAAGGACAGAATAAGTAAATATCTTCAACACAATTAACATTTTGAACTTTCACTTCTTAATTATCAAGTACAGGGGAGACAGTGGTGTGGTGCTTGTAAGCCAGAGGCCCAGATTAATTTTAATGGGATCAACATTCAAATCCTACCACTGCAGTTGGTGTAATTTAAATTCAATGAATAAAAAGCTAGTCTCGGTAATGATGGACATGAAATCAGAGATGGTCGTTAAAGCCGCTGTGTCTTTTAGGAAACAAAATCTACCATCCTTACCTGACTGGACGTACATATAATTCCAGACCTACAGTAATGTGGCTGATTCTTAAAGGTCCTCTGATATGGCCTAGTAAGCCATTTAATACAAGGGCAAATAGTAGCGGGCAACAAATATTGTCCTCATCATTGATCCCCACATGCCATGGAAGAGGTATTTTTAACTCCCTAGCTTTAATTCTCAGCCATTCGCCTTTAACCACAGTCTGATGAAATTGTTATTCCAACCATCGTCCAGATTTGTTCCCTTTTCTGAAGGTGCTGACCTATTCTGGAATATAAACCCAAACAGAATTCTGGCTGTTCTCATGTCACACCCATATGGACATTTGTGCCTGTTTAGCACATACCAAGAGGCAATTCAACAACAAATTATAGAATCCAGAGAGTGTGGAAGCAAGGGCCATTCAGCCCATCAAGTCCACACTATCTGAAGGGCATCTCGCCCACACCCACCACCCCTACCCTATCCGTGTAACCCTGCATTTTCCATGGCTAGCCCACCTAGCCTGCACATCCTAGACACTATCGGCAATTTAGCATGGCCAATCCAGCTAGCCTGCACGTCTTTGGATTGTGGGAGGAAACCGGAGCACCCGAAGGAAGCCCACGCAGACACAGGGAGAACGTGGAAACTCCACAAAGACAGTCACCCGAGGCTGGAATCGAACCCGGTCCCTGGCTCTGTGAGGCAACACTGCTAGCCGCTGAGCCATGCTGCTCTGAAGGGAGCATAGCACCTCAAACTTGAAACTCCCCCTGTCTTACAAACCCAATGCAAAACCACAGCATTCAGTGCCAAACCTTTAGCTCTCCCTCCAATGTTACATTGTCCAAACACTCTGGAAAACAATGGTATCCGACTTAAGCCTTACCTTTACCACCTCCTCAAACGTTTCCATGTTTTCCTTCATACTGTAGTGGGAGCGGAGGTAGGACACAAAATTGCACGGGTACATTCCATAGAGACGGTGAAATAATGCATAAACACTGGCGTGTAGGTGGATCAGATACACTTCTGGCAATTGGCCTGGCAGCAATACAGAAGAGAAAATATGATATGCTGAAGGGTTACAGCAGCCCTTAGTGTCATTCAAAGTATCATTTTTGTTTTTACAAAATCTAATTTTAAATGCAGGGAAAAATCCATTTGCAAAACTGTAAATTAAACACTAATTAAGACGTTCCCCCCACCGCTTCCTAATCCCACTTGCACCAATTTGCTTCACAGTAACTCTGCATCATTTGGGTTATTGTGTACATGTCTCAGGATCTGCTGCTTCTTCACATGACAAGCCATTATTACCTACCTATTAGGCTAGTTTTAACATATGAAATGTTATATAAATGCAAGCTGTTCCTAAAGTCAATGCACACAAAACCATGTTTTGATGAATAGTCAGGAACTTTAAACATTAATTCTGATTCCCTCACCACAGACAGACATTCTATAATCTTTGTTTCAGATCATCAACATCAGAACTAATTTGCATTTGTTACAAATATAAAGGTGGGCAGGGAACCATAGAAATGGAACACCAAGTCACAGACTCTAAAGAATCTTTGACAGCTGCTGGAATTAGAATACACTTAATTCAGCTGATCTGTCAAAACAAGGCCTTTTGCTCCCTCAGGTTAACGTTAAAAACGGGGCATTATGTCAGAACTGCAGGGGAGTTTTGCCTGGTGTAGTCAGTTTTATTCCTCAATCATCACCAAACACATCATCTTGACATTTATCATACTGCTCTATGTGGGACCTTGCAATGTGTAACTCAGCTCAAGTTTCCTTCGGTACAAAAGTGACCACACTTCAAAAAGTCTTTCACTGAGTACAAGGCATTTTTGAACTTCCTGAAGTTATGAAAGATGCTAAACAATTTTTTCAGGGGAGAATAGAGCAAGAGTGACATCTAGGATGAAGCTTTAAGACGAAAACATCCAATCATTCATCTCCTCAACTACTTATTACACTTTTAACTCAACCAGTCAGTGACACCAGGATGAGTATGCCCACTTTGTTTTCAATGATCAAGTATATGCAGAGTTGAAAGCACCAAAACGTAGACCTTTAATGCCCTTCAGCAGAAGACATTTTCATCCCAAGGGTTTTGGGTTCATAGCCAAGTCCTCTAGGAAAACAAAAGGCAGAATCTCTGCTGACCTGTATTGCGCAGCCTTCACTAGCAGAATCAGACGTCACCTCAGTGCACCATTGTCATACCTGGCTTTTGTAGGCTCCAAGCAGCCAATCGGCCAAAGATTTCAAAGAAATCGAGGAGATATTGCTTCCCAGCTTGTGGGATCATGGGCAGGAGGATGACTAACACAAGGAGTCCGCTAGTGAGGACAACAACTTCAGTCTCTGTCTGCAGAGAGAAGATCAACAGTTGTGAGTCAATGGAGACAGACATTAGCATTAAAGAGAACGTTAGTAAAATATGTGATGACTGCCCTCAAACACACAGTCAGGGAGGAAAAGGAACGAACAGGAAACAGGAAGCTGCACAAATGCACTCCAGCATTTCAAGGCATTATATAAACTACAGAAGCCACCCAGCCCCATCAAGGCTGTTAAGCCATCCAATTAGACTTGGTTGATTTGTACTTCTGTATTTCATGGCTCTTTAATCTCTCCATACCCACATGTAACAAATATCTATCAAACCAGTTATGATTCCTTTTTAAAAAAAAATGTTAACAGCCTCAACACTGTTTCAGGAGAGTGTTCTTTGTCTGACGCTGGATTGACTGTGAAAGATGCCAGAGTGTGGGGAAATAACTGAAGAGGACTGTACATTTTTGAAGTAAAAATAGTGCTCTTCCAAACCAGAGAATTGCTTATGTTCAGAATTTCTGTCAAGAGGCCAGCAGAAATTCTTTGTTGGCCACATTTTAGCTGGAAACTCTCTCACCTTGCAATTAGACAGCTGTGAATTCAAGTCCCACTCCACAGCCCATAACATAAGTCAACATTACAGCACAGGACTATAGCACTGCCTTCAGATGCCATTTTTTAAATGAGATGTTAAACAGAGGCTCCAGCTCTCTCAATTGGACACAGAGATCCCACAGCACCAATCATAGAGGAGCAAGGATGTTCTTCCCAATATATTGGCCAATGTTTATCATTCAAATGACATCTCTGTAAGAAATTTGCTGTTGGTTATGGTGCTACTACATGCAGGAGCTTGCTGTGTGCGGGTTGGGTGTATTTCCTCCAAAATAACAGTGACTCCACTTCATAAAAGGTATTTAATCAGCTGAAAAGTGTATGAGGTGGTGAGCATAAGTGAAAGCTGCATAGATTCAGAGGAACTATAGGCTCTCCTGTGATTGCATCGAGATGACCCATGATGAGTTTAACCCAACAGTCACCATGCCTGAGGTGAGGGGTGCAGTTGAGAAGGCAAGACCTTCATGGTAAACTCAGCCAGCAAAGGAATTCAACTCTAAATCGCAAACCAGCCATCCAGCTAACCATTTATGAGCTACACACATTTGTAATTACAAGTATGTTACAAAGACTTGGAGGAATTGTCAAGAATTAACAAATTAAATAGACATCTTATCAAGCTAACCAATAGCTTAATTGTAACTTGAAGCAGTCCATTGCACACTTCCAGCAGTAACACTTTTGCAAATCAACGAAGCACATTTTAGACATTAACAGTGAGAGAGAAAAACAATGGGAAACAAAGTTATTTTAAAACATGTGAACTGAACCTTCAGACACTTGAGTAGTGAAACCAGCAAAGGTGCACGAAAGAGTTTATGAATCCATGTTGGCTCACGTCGGATGACGTGACCCAGCAAGGTCACGGCAGAGAGTCGAGTGGCTGCTTTTCCCATGCACTCATTCAGTCGATCCAGAAGATGCTGGAAAATACAAAACAAACTTTCAAAATGGATCACTGACTGCTGGAGAGAATACATCAATCTAAAACAGCCTGTTAACACTGTCTGGATAAGAAGGAAATAGCCAGTTAAGTACAAAGGCAGCCAGTCCCCTCAGAGCCAAGGCCCTAACATCATTTCAGCGACTCACACATACTGAAATCACAATTAAAGACATTTGGCTCTCACCTCCCACAAAGTATTAAATCCCAAATTCGAATCCAGGTTGTGGTGGCCCTTAATTTATGATCTAAAGCAACTGTAGAGATTTTCATTAAAAAATAAAGGGGTAGCATTCATAAAACAGCCTTCAGTCAATACAGCTCATTCCTTTTTGTGAAGTGAATCCACTTTACCTGTATTTGCAAGGTTGTATGTTAACCTTAAGACACTTCTGGTGGATCACACACCTTAGTGCTCTGTTCTACATGATCTATCCATCAGGATTATAGCATCAACTGGCAGTCCAATTTCTTGCATTACAATATAAAGAAGCTCGTTGAAATGCTTTAGATTTCTCTTTTGTTCTGTATTCTTATAAATAAAGAGATGAGCCAATATTATGGAGGTAGGCAAGTCGGATCTGATTACTGCCAAACCTCCTTTTATAGTGTGAGATTCACCAACCCCATTAAAAAAACACTACATCTCCAAGCTCACCGTGCTGTTGATCCCAATTACCTTATCATGGGGCTCCTGTACTGCTGAAAGAATCTGTACAGCTAACACAGAATTGTTTTCCAAATAATGATCCACCAAAGCATTCAGCAGCAAGGGGCCACGGTCTGTAGACAAATAATACAACCAATGGTAAACATAGAATTTTTAATGAAAGAGCAAGTGTTCCTAATAAGTTTGGTATAATTGGACTTCACCATATTACACTGGGGAGTGCCCAAGGAGATTAAGCTGCCAATTTCTCTCATGAAGGGTTACATTAAACTTTGATAAAACACTGGTTAGACATTATTGAAATACACAAGATGCTTAAGGAGCTTGACAGGGTAGATGCGGAGAGGTTGTTTCCCCTGGTGGGAGTGTCTAAGATCAGAGGACATCATTTCAGAATGAGGAGGCACACATTTAAGACAGAGGAGCAAATTGTTCTCTCAGAGGGTAGAGCATCTGCGAATTCTTTACTGCAGACAGCTGTCCTGGCTGGGTCATTAAGTGTATTCAAAGCTGAGATAGACAGATTTTTAACCAGAGAGTCAAGGGTTATGGGGACTGGTCAGCAAATTGGAGCTGAGGATTACTAAATCAGTCATGATCTCATGAACAACCGAGCAGACTAAATGGGCTGAATGGCCTAGGTTAGTTCCTATTTCTAATTCTAAACACCACACTTTGGAAACGTGCAGAGAGGATTACAGTGAAGTCAAAACTCCGCTTATATAGAGACCAGAGAAACACAGGTTGTCTGCTTCAGAGCAGGGAAGGATAGCAAGAGATATAGTCAGATCAAGGTTATGGAGAGATTTTGACACAGTACATGAGGAGAATTTGCTTCCATGGTAACGAGAGAGCCTGGAATTAAAATAGTTGGTAAAAAGAACCAGAGGCGAGATGAGAATTTTAGTTTTTGAAATATATAAATCTAAGAAGTTGTGATGATTTGAATGTGCTGCCTGAAAGTTTGGGAGAACCAATTCAATTGTAACTTTGAAAAGAGAATTGGATAAACACTTCAAATGGACAATTACAAAGGCTGAGGAATGAGTGGGACACCAATTAGATAGTTCTTATAAAAAGCTGGCACAGGGATGATGGACTGAGTGGTCTGTCAATTATAACAGCAGATGAACAAGAGCAGACAGAGTGAAGGCAAACACTGATCGCTCCCAAATTAGAGACAGATGATTTACAGAAATATCAAAACTGTAAGAATCACGCACATTAAAAGAAGTTACTTTTAACAACAAAAGCTCACATGTAAGAAATTAAACAAAAACATCAGATGCTGGAAATATAAAAACACGACTGTGGTTGAACACCTTCATCAGAACTGCAAACTCAACCACAAAGAAGTTCCCGTCCAGTCTCACACCTGAGCGGAGGTGGTCAGTGACAATCCCCTTGACTTCCTCGAGAACCTGCAGGTCTGTGGACTCCAGCAGTGGAACCAGGTCGCTAACATTTACTGGCTGCGTCATGCTGTATCAGATTCACCTGACCCGTCTCCTTAGCTCAAGCCCAGGTGGCAGCCTCAGCCCACGCCAGGTCTGAACCAACTCGACCCTGGCTGCTGACTAGCAGGGTAATGCTGTAAACAAAGACAAAACAACAGAGGTCATTGTACTCATTTTTAGACTCATAAGTAATTTCAGCACAAAATTAGTTTTGCAACACAGATTTGAAGGTTGAGGTCATTCTGAAATATCACTAGCTTACAATGCTAAAGACATTACAAAAATGCAACCAGTTGTCACTACACCTGCCTTCTTCAAACTCTCACTTGTGTTCCTCTTGCCTGAAAACCTATCCAAACACCGTCTTGGTCACTTTCCTCCAGAACCATGTTTGTCTCTGCCACATGTATCCTAACTCACATCAGATTTTGTTCACTACACACCTTTGTACTCACTGATTGTTGTTGACTTCTAATCCAACATGACTTTGAATTGGAAATTATCTTGGTGCATAGTTTGCCATTTCATAGTATTTGATCCCAGGTCCAGATCAAATTAACTGACCTTAGTTGAGATGACTGCCGTGTTATAATTGGCCTCAGTGCTCCTAGATCATGGGGAACAATTAACTAATGATCTGTATAGATTCACTGTCTGCCATGGTTCAGTAGTAACTTCCTCATCTGAATCAGATAATTGCAATTTAAAATTAAATGCTCAATTTTAAGACTGACTGATCTCCTCCAGTAGCAGATCACACAGAATCCAGATCACTCAAATGAAATGGTATTAGCAAGCTGGGGATAATTCCAATCGTAGAGCATCTTTAGTTTTATACTTTCAATACAAATTTCATGTCAACATCCCCAGTGCAAGGCTGAAGCAGTGCTGCATTGTCAGAAATGTTGCCTCTTAAATGATACTTTAAACTAAAGCCCATCTGCCCTCTTAGGCATTACTATGAAGGATAGGGAAATGACTCTTGGAAGTAGTTCAACACTGATCCCTCAACCGATACCATGAAGACAGATTTGGTTACCATGTTGAGTTTGTGGGGGCTTGCTATGCAAATCGCTGCTACTGCATTTCCTATAAAATAAGATGCTGCATTTTGGAAAGGCAACTCAGGGCAGAACTCACACTTAATGGTAAGGTCCTGGGGAGTGTTGCTGAACAAAGAGACCTTGGAGTGCAGGTCCATAATTCCTTGAAAGTGGAGTTGCAAGTAGACAGGATAGTGAAGGCAGCATTTGGTATGCTTGCATTTATTGGTCAGTGCATAAAGTATAGGAGTTGGGAGATCATGTTGTGGCTGTACATGACATTACTTAGGCCATTATTGGAATACTGTGTGCAATCTGGTCTTCCTGCTTTGGAAGGAAACATGAAAGGGTTCAGAAAAGGTTAACAAGGATGCTGCCTGGGTTGGAGGGTCTGAGCTATAGGAAGAGGCTGAATGGGCTGGGGCTATTTCTCGAGAACATTGGAGGCTGAGGGGTGACCTTACAGAGGTTTATAAAATCATGAGGGGCATGGATAGGGTAAATAGACAAGGTCTTTTCCCAGGGTGGGGGGAGTCAAAAACTAGCCTAGGTTTAAGGTGAGAGGGGAAACATTTCAAAGGGACCTAAGGGACAACATTTTCCTACACAAGGTGGTTCGTGTATGGAACCAGCTGCCAGAGGAAGTGGTGGAGGGTGGTACGATTACAACATTTAAAAGGCATCTGGATGGGTACATGAATAGAAAGAGTTTACAGGGATATGGGCCAAATGCTGGCAAATGTGACTAGACTTATCGAAGATAGCTGGTCAGCATGGACGAGTTGGACCAAAGGGTATGTTTCCGTGCTGTACATCTCTAAGACTCTAAATGCTTTAGGATGCACCAAAGACGGGAAAGGTGCTATAGAAATGAAGTTTGTCGTTTAAAGAGGATAGTTTTAATCCCGCTGTGATCTTAGCCTCCCTGCCGTAACGCCACCACCACCCCCCAACCTCCACCCCCGCACCCCACACCCAGCACAAAGAGTTGATCTGGTCATTTCAAAGGTTTGGAAATGACGTGTGTGTCTGTGCTGCAATAGCATTATGAAAGGCGTGACACCAGGTGTCTGTCGAAGAGACATTGTGTGTGTGTGTGTGCGGGGCGGGGGGGGGGGCACTCCATTCACAATGGCAGCTCTGATCATGAACAGCACAATTCTGTACTCCAAATACTTGTTACAACCAAAGACCCAAATGTCAGAGGTGGCAAGATTTTCTCATCACCAGCTGACTGGATGATTCAGCCTGTTTCCACTGACTGGCAACTGGGGAATGGATCAAAACCACAAATTCTGGTTCTTTTCATTTGAGCTCTGACAGTATCCACCCTGCAAAATTAACAAGACATCATACATAAACAAGGGGCCGTGGGATGGCATTGCAAAATACCTTTCAAATTCCACCGTGTTAAACCAGTCTTATAGAGAAGCACAACACATACAAAGAACCACCCCGACTAATACTTTTCTTACACTTCTGGCTGCAGGAGAAACAAGCCAGAATCAAAGGATTGCAGCGATTTGCGGGCTGCGAGATCTGAGGTGGTTATGGACCAAGGAGCAGCAAGGAGGATAAGAACTCCTATGTGAGAATTTTAACAATGTTATGAATGAGTTTTATACTACAAGTCCTTGGTGAAAAGCTGAATGGAAAAACTAAACTCAGAGTACACAAGCAGGGAACGTACCTGAAAAGTTTTTATCACTCTGCTACCACCCCTCCCTCAAAGGTCAGTGTTACAGATACCCCAATGAGGAACGCTCTCTGCCACTTGGGAATAGAAATATCCACTTGAGAAGCCACAATCACAAAGCAATGATTTATGCCCTGGCAGGAGGCTAACACTCAAAACATTGACTGGGAGCCTCAAGTTCAAATTGCTGGCCATTTGCCCAGAGGGACTGCAACTCTTAACTTTAGTTACTCAGTTAGATTTCATGCTGCTCAAAGTTAGAGTTAAAATGGAGAAAACAACAGAAGCTGTGGCACTGGGAATGCGCAACTTTCTTTCTAAAAAAAAAGCAACAATCAACTGTTACAACGTGGACACTATTTTAGCTGATTAGTCTCGGAGTTTTTGTTCAGTCTAGTATCATCCAATGAGAACAACAGAAAATGCTGGAAGACAGATCTGATCAGTAAGCATTCAGAAACAGAAAAGACAGATTAATAGTTTCCTCGCCAGAATTCATTTTCAGCATTTTTTTTTTAATTTTGTGGAGTATAAACACTGATATGGATCAATGAGACTCAGCAACCAGTTTCTGTGCTATAACAGAGGTATTTCAATTATGAAGGAGTTTAACAGAGCCAGTGTAATATTTCCACTTGGGAATGGGTTCAGTTAGAATCATAAATATAAAATAGTCACAAAGAAATCCAAACAGGAGTTCAGGAGAAACTTCTTAACCTGGAGAGTAGGGAGCATGTGGAACTCGTTCCCACAGAGTGTGGTTGAGGCAAATCACTTGGATGCATTGTAGGGGTAGCTGGATGCATACGAGTGAGGATATGTTGACAAGGGAGTGCTAGAGGAGTGGCAGGAGGCTCTTCTGGAGCAATAACACTGGCAGGGATTGATGAGGACAAAATGCCTGTTTGTGATGTAGACTCAATTTAATTCAACATAAACCCTCACCTGAAAGAACACAAACTTAGAGTTACAGAGTCGGTCCAACCTGTCCATGCTGACCAGTATCCTAAATTAATCCAGTCCCATTTGGCCCATATCCCGCTAAGCCCTTCCTATTCATATCCTATCCAGATGCCTTTTAAACATTATATTGTACCAGCCTTCAGCACTTCCTCTGGCAGCTCATTCCATACAAACATCACCCTCTGAAAAGGTTGCCCTTAGGGCCCTTTTAAATCTTTCCCCTCTCACTTTAAACCGATGCTCTCTAGTTATGGACTCCTCTACCCTGGGAAAAAGACCTTGGCTATTCATCTTATCTATGCCCCTCATGATTTTATAAACCTCTATAAAGTCAACCCTCAGCCTCTGATAGTCCAGGGAAAATAGCCCCAGCCTATTCAGCCTCTCGCTACACCATCTGTGCCATTGCTTTGCAGCAAGGGTAGTCATACAGACAGGGCACGGAACAGGTCATTTGGCCCCTCAGTGCTCCAATTGGTCTTACCGTTAGACTCATACCCCTGATAACTTCACAGTCACTTCCCATAACAAGAATCTATCTACATCTGCCTTAAAAATATTTAAGGGCTCCACTTCCATCACCTTTTGAGGAAAAAACTTAAAAAGACATGAGCCTCTGAGAAACTAATTGTCACCTGTATTAAATGGGTTGCCAGATTTCTTTTTATACAGTTACCTCTGGTTCTAGATTCTCCCACAAGAGTAAACATCGTCTCCATATCCACCCTGTCAAAATCTATCAGGATCTTGTGCTTCAGTCAAGTTGAATCTTGCTCTTCGAAACTCCAGCAGATACAAACCCAGCTTGTCCAGTCTTTCAACATATGACAATTCACTCATTCCGGATATTAACTCAGTAAACACTGTCTGAACTGCTTCTAATGTATTTACTTCCTTAAATGGGATGACCAATGCTGTACACAGTACTCCAGATGTGATCTCACCAATGCAGTTTGAGGCAACAGCTCACCACCACCTGCTCAAGGACAATACAAACCTGTTCGGCAACACCCATGTCTCAGGAATGAACAAAAATTACAAATTAGCTGTAAATGTATACATTAGTAAAGCTCTGTTAGCTTTAGTCATAATGAGTCAGGGTTTGCACCCTTTAACAGGGTGAGGAACATTTTATACGGTGTGCGAATCGCACCACAGTGTAGGGCGAACATTCCTATTGAGATACAGACTCTGTATCAAGTTGATGTGAAGTATTGCTGGAGATTCTGTGCACCCACTAACACCACCTCCAACATGTCCCCTCCAGCAAGTTTCACTGATTTAGGGGTGGGCAGATATATTCCTCTAATAGGTTCGTCCACACCTCCCATGTGAAAGGGTGGAACAAAAATGCTGCTGTTCCTGTTCACGTCCTGGTAGAAAACAAGGGCTGGGAGATGAGGCAGTGCCAGGATCAAACCCTCAGATACTGATAGTTCACTGCGCATTGTCATTCTCTGGTAGTTTTCTTGAGTGATCAATCACCTGCAAAATTGTACCTCAACAAGATGCAGCAACTTTGTAAGGCATGAGTGAGGAAAGCACGGGAATATATTAATGAAACAGCCTTGTAAAGTTATTACTTCACCCAAGATGCTCTCAGCAACAGAGCTCACGTTTAAACTAACTGAATAATGTCAAGGAGGGGGCAGCAGGTAAAGTTGTCACTTTTTCAAATTCCATCCCTTGCCCAGCAATTGAAAGGCTGAACTAAACTGTTCAGATTGCAGCGACAAACTTGACTAAAGCTGAGTTCCTGACCACATCATCACCAACACTGCCCAATTTCAATTTGATAATATCACCCAATTCCCAGTTTCAGCTGCTCACCCACAGATGAAACTCTCAAAGTCACAGTTACTTCTTGACTTCACTATTCCAATACATTCCAGGACTGCCCCCACATTCTATTTTCTGTAGACTTGGTCATCCGTAAACCTTCACTGCTAATGTGCACTAGATCATGCTCAGATGCTGTGCTCACTGACCAACTTGGTTTAGTTTTCAAGTCTCTTGGCTTCTCACCTCCTTCAGTCCTACTCATCAGCGCTCTGAGGTATTTGTGTTCCTCCCAATGGCAGCCTTTTGAGCATTGCTAATTTTCATCACTTCACCACAGGTGGCCCTCAGGTGTCTGGGTCATAAAGTCCCACCCTAAATCTCATTCTCCTCCTTGGAGAGGCCCTTTATAACCTACCACTTTGACCAAAGTTTTAATTATCTACACCAATCATAGAATTGTTAAAGCACAGGAAGTAGTCAAAACAGTCCATCTTCTTTGTACTGGTTCAATTAATTAGTATTTCACTTAATGCCATTCACCCTAACTTCACCCGTAATCCTACACAGTCTTCCTTTTCAGATACAATTCTAATTCTTTCTTGAAAGCTTTAATTAAACCAGCCTCTTTCAGCATCAAATTTTGTTTGTTGCTCTGAAGCACATTGACTACTCTAAAGGATTATAGAAATGAAAGCCTTTGTCGCTGTTGATTTGCAGATTAAACAAAGTATTGGTGAGCAAACATTTACAGATACAGTTGCCTTTTACAGAGATTCTACAAAAATAGAAAAGCTAGTTTACACTGCAAATCAAAAAAGAGACGGGATGTTTCTGAAAAGATATGCAACTGACTGTCAGTGCAGGACACAGCATATCACTAAATCTTTCCAAAAGCCTTTGATAAGATATTGAATATAAAGCTACTGAGTAAGGTGAGAGCCCATGGTGTTGGGATTAATACATTTGCATGGATGTGTGCTGGCTAACTACTGGAAGATAGAGAATTGGGAAAAAGGGGATATGATAGAATTCTTCATCGAGTTAGAGCGAGGTGGCTGATTCTGAGACAAGGGTCCAGAATCTTAATAAGGAAAACTACAATGGTATGAGTTGTAAGTTGACTATGATGGATTGGAAACTGTTACTGAAAGGAATGACAGTGCGTAAGCAATGGCAAACATTTAAAGAGCAAATGGGTGAACTACAAATATTGTTTATTCCTATCTGACGCAAGAGGCAAAGAGAACAGTGGCCAAACCATGGCTAATTAAGGAAGTTAGAGATAGCATTGGTTGCAAAAAAAGAGGCATACAAATTGGCAAAAAAAAAGAGACCTGAGGATTGGGCAAGTCAGAAAGGAAGGACAAGTGATTCACTAAGAAGGGCAAAATACAGTGCGAGAGTAAGCTTGCAGGGAACACAAGAACTGACTGATAAAGTTTCAAAGAGAAAAAGATTGGTGAAAACTAATGTAGGTCCCTTACAGTCAGAAACAGGGAAATTTAAAATGAGGAACAAGGAAATGGTTGACAAACTAAATTCATACTTTGCCTTGGGTCTTCACAAAGAAAGATACAAATAATATACCAGAAATGGGGGACATAGGGTTTAGTCAGAGGGGAAAAACGGAAACAAATCAGTATTAGTAGAGAAATGGTGTTGGAGAAGTTGTTTGGATTGAACATTGATAAATTCCAGGGTACTTAAGGAACAGGCCCCAGAAGTAGTGGATGCATTGGTGGTCATTTTCCAAGATTCTTCGGGCTCTGGAACAGTTCCTACAGATTGCAGGGTAGCTGATGTAACCACACTATTTATAAAAGGGAAATAGAAAGAAAATGAAATGATAAGCCAGTGAGTCCGATGTCAGTAGTTGGGGAGATAGTAGAGTCCACTATTAATGATTTTGTAGCAGAGAACTTGGAAGAAAAATGGTAGAATCAGACACAATTAGCACAGATTTACAAAAGGGAAATCTCGCTTGACAAATCTACTGAAATTCTTCAAGGATTTAACTAGTAGAGTTGATCAGGGAGCCAGTGGATGTGGTTTATTTGGACATTGAGAAGTCTTTAACAAAATGTTATGTAAGAGATTAATGTGTAAAATTAAAGCGCTTGGGACTAGAGGTAGTGCACTGAGATGGACAAATAATTGGTTAGCAGAGAGGAAACAAAGAGAATAGGGATCAATGGGTCTTTGTGACCCATTGTGGCAGGCAGTGACTAGGCGTATTGCAGGGATCAGTACTAGGATCCCAACTATTCACAATATATGTTAATGATTTAGATGAGGGAATTAAAGTGTAATTTCCCAAAATTTGCAGAAGACACAAAGCTGGGTGGAAGGTCAGCTGAGGAGGATACAAAGATGTTGCAGTGTGATTTGAACAGGCTGAGTGGGCAAATGAATGGCAGATACAGTATAATGTGGATAAATGTGAGATGATTCACTTTGGTAGCAAAATAGAAAGGCAGGAGATTATTTGAACAACTGTAAATTGAGAGCGAGAAACGTTCAACGAGACCTTGTCCTTGTGCACCAGTCATGAAAATAAACATGCAGGTGGTAAAGACGGCAAACTGTATATTGTCCTTCATTGCAAGAGGATACGAGTAAAGGGACAAGGATGTCTTGCTGCAATTATACAGGGCACTGGTGGGGCCACATCCGGAATGTCGTGTGCAGTTTTTGTCTTTTATCTGAAGAAGGACGTTCTTGCCATAGAGGTAATGTAGTGCAGGTTTAACAAATTGTTTCCTGGGCTGGCAGGACAATGTATGAAGAGAGATTGCGTCAGTTAGGATAGTAATGACTGGAGTGTAGAAGAATTAGGAGGGAATCTCATAGAAACCTATAAAATTCTAACAGGACTGGACAGGTTAGATGCAGGAAAGATGTTCTCTTGGTGGGGGAGTTCAGAATCAGAAGTCATAGCTTATGATAAGGCATTTTTTTTAGAATTGAGATGAGGAGAAATTTCTTACCCAAACAGTAGTAAGCCTGTGGAATGCATTATCACTGAAAGTGGCCAAAAGGTCAAAACATTGTGTTTTCAAGAGGTAGCTACAGCTCCTACGGTCACGGGGATCAAAGGATTAGGGGTATTGAGCTGGATGATCAGCCATGGTCATATTAAATGGTGGAGCAGGCTCGAGGGTGGATTGGCCTACTCCTATTTTCTAAGTTTCGGGATAACAACCTGTAACCAGTGGAGTGGCACATGGGTCTACATTATTTACAATATATAGTACACCCAAGTCATGAATATCTATAAATTTGTAGATGACAGAAATAAGTGGAAAGGCAGGTAGTCAGGATGACTCAAGTCTGCAAAGGGATACAGACAAGGAAAGTGAGTGAACAAAATTTGAAAGATGGGATATAATGCAGGAAAACATGAGGTATGTGCTTTAGTAGGAAGTATAAAAGAGTTGAATGTTATTTATATGAGGACAACCTCTAGAAAGCTGCAGTGGAGAGATTCTGGGGCTACTCATGCATGAGTCACAAAATGCTACAATCAAAGGTCAGCAGGTAACAGGGAAAGGCAAATGAACAGGCAGCCTTTACTTCAAAAGAAATAGAGTTTAAAAATAGGGAGGTCTTGCTAAAACTATACAAGGTACTGGACAGGCTGCATCTTGAATACTGAACAGTTTTGGCCCCCTTATCTACGGAATGATATGTTGGCATTAGAGACAATTCACAAAATGTTCGCTAAAATGATCCGAGTTGCGCAGGGAGCTTCTTATGAAGAGAGGTGAGGCTTTACTAATTGGAGTTCAGAACAATGAGGGATGACATTATTGAAATATGAGAGATTTTTAGGGGATTTGACAGCTAAATGCTGAGAAGTTGTTGTCCCCCTGTAGGAGAGCACAGGAGCAGAATCTTGGAGTAAAGGGTCACTCATTTCAAATTTTTTTTCCCTCACAGAGGGTAATGATTCTGTGAAATTCTTTACTACAGAGGCTGTCCAGGCTG